ATGATGATGATGATGATGATTAAAGGGTTGGGAATGTGGTTAGAGCACTTGCCTACCACGAGTAAGGCTTAGGATTTGATTCCCAACACTAGAAACACTTCATTTAAGATTAGATTTTTGGTATCCTCCACAGTCCTAAAACCAATCTCCCCTCTATCTGAACAGAGAATCTCAAGATTCTGCTAAGTATTCTACTCTCTCTGAATGAGGCAGTGTTTCTACCCAGTGACAAACACACTTGCCATAGGCCTAAGCAGATTAGTACTGGGGACCAGAGACTATGTTCTTCATGTTTTTATTAACATGGGACAATATAAGCATAACGTTTTTGGTTATCTGAAGAATTCTTGTGTTGAATTTCTCTGACAAGAGACTACATCTTTTCATAGGTTTTTATCATTTATATTTCCCCATGTGAATCTTTCATATTGTTGCTTCATTCTTCTCATTGGCATTAATCCGTATTCTCTTGGATAAGTGGTTCTACCCGGGTTCCCAGGTTGTCACCCCTGCCCCCTAACTTCGCGCAGTAGTGCAGTCTTTTAATCTGCACTAACTGAATCCTTTGGCATCTGAATTTTCCATCTTATTTGTACATGGACTTGGGCATTTTATTCGTAGAGCATTAACCCGTCTGTGAGTGTGAGCGTGTTTGGGGGTAGTGAGGAGTGGACATCAGTATGGTGTCCCTGAGATTGCAATATCAGATATAGAAGAGTTTCTCACTCCCTCCCTTATTTCCTTCTCTCCATTTTTTTTTCTTTTTCTCCCCCCTGCCCCCCCATACTGGGGATCAAACTCAGGATCTTGCACGTGTAAGGCAATCACAGTGCCACTGAGCTAAATCCCAGCTATTTTTTTTTCTTTTTTCTCATTGCAGTACTGGAGATTCATTTCAGGGCCTTTGCAATGACCTATATTTTTGGTACCAGGGATCAAACTTGGGACCTTGAGCTTGCGAGACAGGCAGTGGAACCACTGAGCTATATATTGAGTCCCTTTTATTTTTTTACTTTGAGACAAGGCCTTCCCAAGTGGCTAAATTGCCCAGGTTTGGCTCAAAGTTGAAATCCTTTTTGCCTCAGCCTCCTAGAGTGCTGGAATTACAGGCTTCTGCCACCATGAAATAGATTCCAAATTGTAAGAATTTGTTTTCGGACTCACCAATAGGATTTAAAAAATAGTCATCTCAGGATTCTAAGAACTGCAATGAAATTCCATTGTAGGACACAACAGTTAAACAAATCTCCATATAAGTTGTAGCTTTTTTGGTTATAAGCAAAAAAATAGTGAGGTTCTATAAAATGCTGAAGCACCTGGTTAGGGTTGTAGAAATCCTCATTTAGTCATCTCTTTCTAACAGATGAAATGTGTAGGCAGAAATATTATATAAATATATACATTTTATTTTTTGTTGTACTTGGGTTTGAACCCAGAGCCTTTACACTGGGCTAGATGCTCAGGCCTTTATATTTTCTGCTTAGAGACATACTCTCAATAAGTTTCCCAGGCAGGAGTAGCACTTGTGAGCCTCCTGCCTCAAGTCTGCCAGAGTGCCTGGATTATAGGCATGCACCACAATGCCCAGCTAGATAGATTATATAACATGCAAAAAATATAACAATTCATTTTTTTGTTTCAAGCCTTACTTTATCCACTAAATTATAACAATGTACCCTATTTTTGCTGGAAACAGATTCCTAAGATACCTATAAGTATACTTAGTCTGATTGAGACAGTGCTTCTTAAAATCCTAAACAAAGGGTTTCCTTCCTTTTTAAACAGTTGAGTTGAAATTGAGTTTTAAAGATCATTAAAAGTAATACGAGGTATTATAAAACAAGGGTATTAAAAAATAATGCAACAATTAACAAGTATTCAATTAAATCTTGACTAAACTCAGTCATTTTAAAACATGGTTGGTGGTTTCTAGCCTGCAGTGACCCCTGGTGTTACTCTGGAAAATGTGCAGCATGCTATTCCTATCACTAATCTTTAGAACTGGTTTGGCGGGCAGGGTCAGGTGCTGGGGATAGAACCCAGAGCCTTGCCCAGGCTAAGCAAGCGCTCTACCACTGACCTTCACCCCTAGCACCTAAGTCCATCTTTTGAAATAGCTTGTAGGTGTGTTTGGCCAACACAATAAAATAGCTTATTCTCATAGGAAGAAAAGGACTAAAGGTGTAGGGGAAGTGGGACGGGTAGGGGAAAGGTAATAAGGGAAAAGAAAAAAAAATGAGAAAATGAAAACATGGAAATAAAGTATGTGTAAATAGGGAAGGGAGGAGGGGGTGAAGGGAGGGCAGGGGTAAGGGGCAAAAATGAGAACGAAGACCTGTCATGTAAAGGTACAAGATCCCAATGATGAATGTAACTGTACTGTATACCTAAAACATTCCAATAAACTCAATGAGAAAAAATAAATAAAACAGCTGATTCTCAATGTTCCATTCAGCAGATAACTGCACATTTTCCCAAGGAAATTAGACTTTCTGTACAAAACATACAAAACAGACACTACTCTAGGTAATGCCTGTATATCTGCATTTGCCATTACAAAATTACAATAGAGACATTTGTGAGCTGAAGAAATTTATTTTCATCAAATCTCAACTTTTTTTTTTTGAGACAGGGTCTCACTATGTAGTTGAGACTGACCTGGAACTCACTATGTAGCCCAGGCTGGTCTGGAACTCACAGCGATCCTCCTGCCTCAGCCTCCCGAGTTACTGGGATTACAGGCGTGTGCCACCACGTCTGGCTCAAATCAACTTTTAAAGCAATTTACTTGAAAAAAAATTATAGGAATTCAAACTGAGCTGTGGCCTAAAGCCTAAGGGCATTATCCAAAATAAGTAAAATATATTTTTCATTATGTCTTTTGTCCAAAATCATTAATTACATAGGGTTGTGTGTTTCAGAAAGAGTGCAAAATTTAAGAAATTGGTGCTCTGTGTAATTATCTGAGAAAAATCTAACTACTGTATACTAGAATATTTAATTCTGTGTATGTTATTGTAACAAGAACAAAGGTTTTAAGAGGGCTGATCAAAATAAACAATGTGTATAAATGAAATTTATTACAGTAAAAATTATATTGCCATTAATTCCTCTCAAAATATCCCCCTCAGTTCAGACACTTCACCTGTCATTCTTACACTTTCTGAAACAGTTCTGGAGGTCTTACATCAGTGCCTTTATATGATGTGACAGAAGGACGGTGAATGTTGTGACTAAGTGCCATCCAACAGAAAAGCAGGCTCCTAAAAACATTATGTAAGTCCTCATTCATCTTATCCACTGGATCTGGCAGTGTGTGACTTCTACTTCTTCTTAGTCAAAATGACCATGCTAAATACACACTTTAAATTGATTTGGGACATCGAGGTAGCCACAACAGTGCAACTAAAGACACTCATGAAAGAGTGTGCAGAACTGCTTCAGAAACTGGCAAGTTTCTGGGATACGTGTGTATAAAGTGAGGGGGGAGTATTCTGAGGGAGATTAAGAGCAGTATGTTTTTTACTGTAATAAATTTTTGTTAAATATTTAAGCATTCACTGTATTATTTGATCTCACCATATACTCCAAATCTTCCATGGAATAAGGTGGGATACCAAAAAGGGGGCTGGAAAGAAAAAATAGGAAGAAAGACGGGGAAGAAAAGACAGAAGATAAGATGGAAGAGGAAAGAAATCTGCTGGTTGGATTGTTACCTTCTGAGAGAGACATCACTATTTAAGTCCTAGTCACCACTCAGTCTGCTGAGCCTGGTACAATGCCTGACACATATTAGATTGGGAAATACAAGGGCCTTTAAGCAAAGGCACGTTAATAAGTTTAGAATGTGTAAGGCTAATGTATAACTTAACATCTGTATTTCCTGACCAATGTTTTCAGAAACAACTGGGTGGAGTCATTTTCTTTCTTTCTTTTTTTTTTTTTGCAGTACTGGGGATTAAACTCAGAATGTGCTCAGCCATACTCCTAGTCCTTTTTCGATTTTTTGCAGACAGAATCTCACTAAACTGCTCAGGTTGGCCTCACACTTGCAGTGCAGCTGGGATTATAGGTGTATACCTCCACGCCTGGGCAGATTTCTTCTTTATAAACCGGTTTTATAGTCAACTCCCTCTGCAGTAAGATCATGCATAGTATGCAGAAACAGGTTCTATATACTGGAAAGCCCTTTTGTTATCATGAAGGCAGCCTGGGGCCCTTGCACAAATCTATCAGTGAGGGCCAAGGATGTAGCTCAGCAGCGCTATGCCTGCCTGGCAAGTGCAAGGTCCTGAGTTCCATTCTGCTTCTGGACCAGCAATAGCAGAAAGCATGCAATTAGGTCTATGGCTATGAAATTATAGATTACAAACCTCTACCAGCCCCAGATTTTTTTTTTCTGGTACTGGGATTGAACTTGGGACCTTGGAACTGCAAGGCAGGATTCCCAGCCACCCAAAATGCTTTTTACTTGCACAGACACATGTCCCAGTAACTTCAGAAGAGCAGACAAGGAAGAAAACAGGAAACCGCTGTGGCTCTATGAAGTTCGGACAACAAAGAAATGACATTCAGTTAGTCAGACCAGGAAAAGAAAAAGGTTAAAAAATTGGTAGTCTTGATAAAAAACATGAGGAAAGAATATTACCAGCTTGAGCTTGAGTAAAGGCATAAAGCTGAAAAGGGAATGACTATTTCTAGTATTAACAACAGGCAATACTAATTGATCACCATCTACATGCTAGGTGTTTGCAAGTGTTCCATTACAAAGGAGATGCCGTGACTTTCATTTTAGAGGTGTACAAAATGTGGCACAGAGAGGGTATGCTGGCTCAAAATCATACAGCTGGTAAGAGGCACCTTGAGCTCCTAGTTTCCCCACAGTCCTACTTCATGTAGGTTTGAATCTTAATTTGAAGCACCTAAACAGCCACCCAGGGACAGTTAGATAGAGCAGTAGTTTAGTCTAGATGAGAAGTCAGGAGAACTGGTTTCCTTACCTATTGTCCAGCTGTACAGCTCCACTCTGATGGGCCACACTTGCTCACACCATTCCTCTCCACATGGAAGGGACCCTGCTTCTGCCTGAGGTGAGGTGCTCTGCTTTTCCTCAAGCTGTTTGTCTATCAAAAAATTCCAATTTCCTGAGTGGATAATCCCTAAGTTTCAAAACTCAAGGAACTCAAAGGTATGAAAGGTTCATTTCACCAATCTGTGCCTGAAACACCTAGTTTTACTTTCTGGAATCAATCGATGCTTCTTGTCTCTGCTCTTTTAGAACCATCTTGGGACACAGTGTAGATTCCCTACCCTTTTGTCCCAGATGCATTGGATGCACAATGTACTTAATCTCTTTTTCTTTTTTGAGACAGGGGTTTTCTATGCAGTTCTGGCTGTCCTTAAACTCACTATGTAGCCCAGGCTGGCCTTGAACTTGTAGTGATCTTTCTGCCTCAGCCTCCTGAGTGCTGGGATTTTAAAAGCTCTGTCAGACACTGGTATGGAGAGATGAGTAAGGCATATTTTCTTTTCTTGGGCTATGCCATGTTTGCTTTAGGCAGAAAGGGCGGGTGTGCTAGGAGGAAAAAGCCAAACTGCTTGCAGATAAATATAATTAATTATGAGCAAATGGGTAATAGACAGCTTGTCAAAGCGTCTGATCTGTGACAGATGACTGTTGAGTGAATGAACCAACAAATGATGAAATGTCTGAATGTGGACTTTTTTCTGAAGACAGAGCCTTGCTATGTCCTGCAGACTAGTTTCAAACTCTTGATCTCCCTGCTTCAGCCTCCCAAACACTGGGATTGGGCATGAATCTTGAGGGACTGGTTGAAAATCCTTGCTACCAACTGCAGTTTTAAAGGGATAGCATAGATGAAGTTGTACGTGGGAAAATCCATCCCCAGTTCTTGGTTGTTACTTCAAGTTCTGAGAGGTAAATGGGATGGGCTGGAAAGGATATAATAGTTTTTATTGCTTTCAAACCCCCTTTTTTCAGTTTTCATAACTTAAATAGCCTCACTCACCAGTTACTCAAAGAAGCACTCTGGATGAAGGCTACTTTTCATACTTATACACTGTACCTTACTGTCATCACACCTCACTTCCAGCTAGCTAAAGGCCGCCACACTGAGTCTATATTTACACTGAATTAAGAATAAGTCTGGCTAGGTTGCTTTGTTAAAATGACATTCCAGTTATTTAAAGCTCAAATATAAGTCCGTATTATCGTGACAAAGCAGCAATTTCCATTTGAGAACTTTGAGTGCTGATTATTCACATTATCTAATATTTGTGTAATGATGCATTTTGTGGCTGGGCAAAGAAACACTGAATGTGGTTAATTTTACTGAGGTCATGCTTAGAAATCCCAAGACAAAATCTCATATATACTTCCTCCTATAATTAAGCTTTCTACCAAAGCAGTAGAAATTTATTTTATTATTTTATTTTATTTTATTTTATTTTGTTTTATTTTTTTGAGACAGGGTCTCACTATGTAGTGAGACTGACCTGGAACTCACTGTGTAGCCCAGGCTGGTCTGGAACTCACAGCAATCCTCCTGCCTCAGCCTCCCGAGTGCTGGGATTACAGGTGTGTGCCACCACACCTGGAGTAGAATTCATTTTAAAATGTTTACAATTGAGATCAAATGTGGGATTGTTTTTTGTGATACCAGGCTCCAGTCCAGAGAAGCTGTACCACTGAGCTACAGTTCTAGCCTTTTTTATTTTTATTTATTGAGAAACTTGTTATATTGCCCAGGCTAGGTTTTTTGTTTATTTTGAGACAGAATCTTGCTATGTATATGTAGTGCAGGCTGGCTTTGAACTACCTAGCCCAGGCTGGCTGTGAAATTTATAATGATCCTTCTACCTCAACCTGCTGAGTGCTGGGATTGCATGTGCCACCACACCTGGCTGGCAACAAAGAACTACCAGAAGGGCACAATTTTAAAAAGTGAGTCAGAGCTGAGTATGGTAGCCCACTCTGTAATCCTAGCTATGCTGGATAAGGCAGGAAGGTACTGAGATCCAGGCCAGGCTACACTATGCAATATATGGAGACCCTACCCCCACCAAAAAAGATGTCCTGTGTATGACTTTTTTCTTTCCCTTGTACATCAACTCAGGGAATGCTGAGTTGCATCCTCAGTTCTTTTAATCATTGTTATTTATTTTGAGATAGTCTCACTAACTTGTCCAGGTTGCCCTCAAACTCATGATTATGGGTTTGTGCCACTATGACCAGTTTATCTGTGCTACTGAGTTGCTTTTTGGGGTGGGGTAGTGTTTTGTTTTGTTTTTTTTAATCTTCATTTTTCTTGTGCCATTAAGAATTCTAAATAGAATTTGAGTTTTTAAAAAATTAAGCCTGAGCTGTAGTTTCCTCACAGAAAATGGTAGTTGTGATAAAAGTACCAGGGATGGGGATGTGACTCAGTGGTAGACCACTGGCTTGGCATGAGTGAGGCTTGGGTGCAATTCGCAGCATGGCAAAAATACAATGTCTCCTTTCACGTATTCGTATTCATTTACCTGTTAGCTCCCCACTCTGACCACCTAGGATCCTCTGCAGCAGCCTAGAGAATAAATACAGAAGGCTGCTCTGATGGGGATCACAGCAAGGCAGAGCTGAAGCTACACCGCAGGGAAAGAGTAAAGAACAGTGATTAATTGGCAACTCAATGCATGGTAAGAACAGATTTATAAATCTTGGCCTGCTGCCCAAACTCCAAAGAAATAACAGAATGATAAATAAAATTCATTAATGTACACATTTCAGAAGTTTCCAATTTTTCCTTCTGGTCTCACCCTCTCGTTTCCCTTTTCTCATCTTAAATTCTCAGGCTTCCACCATACTACTTTACCGGTTTCTCTTTTTAACGTACTTTCTTTTTCCAAATTATGGTGGTGTGGAGTACGGATCACTTGTAGAACTTTCCTCCCTATAAAGGAGAATATTATTTTCATGCTGGGGATGGAATGCAGAATGCAGGCCCTTGAATATGCTAAGAAGGCATTGTAGCTACCAACTCCCAGCCTGACAAAGCTATTTTACATACTCATAACATGGACCAAGAAGAAGTTAAGAAATATTTTATTTCCCTTTATGTAATTATGCTATTCAAACTTTTTGTGTGTGTGGTAACGGGGATCAAACTCAGGACCTTGCACTTGTGAGGCAGGTGCAGTGCCACTGAACTAAATCCCCCAGCCCTATATTCAAATTTTTTTAAACAAAAATTTAAACTATGGTACAAAGACAGGAAAAAAATACTAGTACTTTTACATAAGTGTTTATTTTTTTATATAAGGCTGGCATAGGAACAAGAAAATGGTGAGGAAGAAAATTTTGTATAGAGGTTCAGAATAGAATAATGGAATAGAAGTTGTTTTGGTCTTTTTACAATCACAGTGCTATCACTGTATAATCTGAATCTGCTATTAAAAGCTAAGATTTATATAGATAGCACTAAGGGAGTTGGAGACACGAACTATACCCAAAACAAGCTGGAATAATTCAGAACCATTAAGAAAGTACTCTAAACACCAAGACATAGCTAAAAGCTGGGTCCTTATGTGTCGGGGAGCAACTATGTAAGACTTCTCCAAACAGTAAGATGTTCATGAAAAGATACATAAAATGCTAATTTGATTACTAATTATGTTATTAAAATTTAATAGAAAATAACAGGATTTATTCAGAACTTGTATCAGTGGTTTTCAACCTTATCAATTTTGCATGTAAAGGGGATGTTTGTCAATGTCTAGAAACAGTTGGCTGTTACAAGTGAGGAAAACATATTGAAGTCAGGTAAGTAGAAACCAAGGATAGAGTTAAATACCCTAAGATACACAGGATAGCTTCTTGTAACAAAAAGGATCATTTGGCCCAGAATGACAACACAATGAGGAACTCTGACTTCACTAAAAATACTTCTTTCAGGGAGGAATACATGCTTTTTCACTGACATTGTTTAGGACTGATGGCACACAGTAATAATTAAAGTAGTCTTATTTTGGTTGTTTTCATTATTTTTAATGATAATTTGGAAAATGTGTCCCCCTTTATTGGCCACACTAAAGGCTAACTCTTCCCACCTCAGCTCCATAGAGGCTATCATTCACTTCATTAGATTTCTCCTTGCTATCGTCTTTAGTTTAGCAATCTTAGTGGATATGAAATGGTACCTCATTGTAATTTTAATTTGCATTTCTCTAATAACTAGTGAGGTTGAGCACTTTTTGATGTATTTATTGCCATATACATATATTATTGTTTTTTGTTTGAGGCAGTTTCACATAGCTCAGGCTGGCCTCAAATTCGATCTTCAGGCCTCAGCCTCCTAAGTTGCATAGTTTTGTAGAAATGTCTTCAAATTTTAGCCCATTAAAAAAAAAAAAAAACTGGGTTGAGCTAGGTATTTAGCTCAGTGATTCCGCTGCCTGCCTCGCAAGTGCAAGGACCCGAGTTCGATCCCCCGTACAAAAAAAAAAAAAAAAAACAACAAGTTAAAAAAAAAATGGATTGTCTTTTTGAGTTTTAGAATTGTTTGTATACTCTGCTGGACATGGTGGTGTGGATCTCCATGAGTTTGAGTCCAGCCCGGGCATAGTGATTTCATGACCAACAAGACCGCCTCAAAAAAAAAAAATTTAATATAGTCTGTATACTTTTTTTGGTACCACAGATCAAATTTAGGACATTGTGCTTGCCAAACAGTGCTGTTCCACTGAGCTAGATCCCCAGCCCCTATTTATTTTTCTTATCTATTACGTGATTTGCAAATATATTCTCACATTGTGGGTTTTTTTTGGTTTTTTTGATAACAGGGTCTCACTATGTAGTTGAGACTGACCTGGAACTCACTATGGAGCCCAGGCTGGTCTAGAACTCACAGCGATCCTCCTGCCTCAGTCTCCTGAGTGCTGGGATTAGAGGCGTGCACCACCACGCCTAGCTGAGTCTTTCTTTTTTTTGAGACAGGGTCTTCTATGAGGAATTCAGGATGGCCTTGAAGTCACTATGTAGCCTAGGCTAGCCTCAAACTAATGGCAATTCTCCTGCTAGCCTCTCAAATGCTACATCTGCACCCCAACACATTTTTTAAACAGTGTCTTCCTAAATTGCTTGGGCTGGCCTCAAACTTGTGATGCTCCTGCCTCAGCCTCCCAAGTGGCTGAGATTATATGTGTGTCCTGCCATGCTTGACTTTTATCTTTTTCTTTTCTTTTTTTTTTCCAGTTCTTGGGATCAAACATAGGATCTTGCACTTGCCAAGCAGGTGTGGTGCCACTGAGCTACATCCCCGACCAGCTCTATCTTTTTTCTCAATGGTGTCCTGTGAGAGCACAAAAGATTTTAATTTTGATGAGCTCCAATTTATATATGTTCCTTGACTGTTTCTGTAGTACATGAATGCATAATCCAAAATCACAAAAGCTTTCTTCTAAGAATTTTAGTTTTATCACTTAAAGCCAGTGATCCAGGATAAGTTTAATTTTTGTATGTGCTATGGGGTAAGCACATTCACTTCACTTTTTTCTTGTGGATGCTCAATCATCCTAACACCACTGTGGAGGCTATTCATTCTCCACTGAACTGTGTTGGTTCCCTTGTTGAAAATCAGTTGATGTTACAGCGTTCATTTCTGGACTGTGATTTCTATTGTCTAATCTTAGGAAAATACCATACTGTGCTGATTTCCATGGCTTTATTGTTTTAAAACAAGAATATGTGAACATCTTACATTCTATATCAAGATGTTTTGGCTACTCTGTGTCTCTTGTCTTCCCATATGGATTTTAGGATGAGCTTGAGTTTCTGCAAAAAAGCCAACCAAGATGTTGCTGCACCTGTAAATAATTTGGAAAGTATTGTCTTTCCAACCTATGAAAATAAGATCTTTGATTTCTTTCACTAATGTTTGTGGTCCAGTGTACATAGGCAAGTTTTGTATACATAATACAAAACACCAGAGAATGCAAAATAAAGTACTTTTGATATGATAAGTGGAATTCTTTCCTGAAAAACATTTTATTAATTATTTTATGGTACTGGGGATTGAACCCAGGGCCCTTGCATTGAGCTACATCCCCAGCCCTTTTTTATTCTGAGACATTGTCTTGCTAAGTAGGTCTCAAACTTGTGATCCTACTGCTTTGGCCTCTCTTAAGTACTGAGATAACATGGATGACTGGCTATACACATTTTAATTTTTATTATTTTTGGCGATGGTGGAGTTGAACCCAGGATCATGTGCATGACAGACAAATGCTCTATCATTGAGCTATACCCC